TCAAATCAATGTATTAGGGAAAGCAGACTCCTTACCACACTCCTCCAGGGAAGGACAGCCATGGTCTTCCATTCCAAAATTCAGCTGGCTCCAACACCTGTCCTAAGAACCAGATCAAGAGACCTGGGAAGAATCCGAATATTTAAAAGCCCTAATCTATTATGGACTGACATAGTTACCCTTTACCCAACCTTTAGCTACACCCAACTACATGCTAAATCTTGCAGTTTTGATATTTGATGTCAAACCGCCTCTAACTCTTTCAAGGCAGTTTCCCCCAGGGACTCAAAAAAAAAAAAAAAAAAAGAGCAAGGAAAGGAGAATTCAAGTTCCTGGAATTGCACAAATGATGGCAGCAAGGTATGCATAATTGTGAGGGACCCCTCCCAACCCAGAAAGAAGAAATCATAAAAAGCAGCTGTCCCAGAGCTTGCCCAGCGGCGTCCAGTGCTTTCACTCTAATCAACTCTGTTGCTGGCTTGATTCTGGTGCTTTGTGAAATTCTTTTCTCAAAAGCCACCAAGGATCCTCAATTCTTGCTGTTCCCCAATCAATGATTAGTGAGAGAAAACATGTAAGCATTCCTCATTTTCTTTTTTATTCCAATCACATTTAATATAGAAAGTTAAATATTTAACTCTTCCTCACCAGACAGTATCAGTTTCTGTGAAATGAAACTGGTTCATGCCACATTCTTAATGCTTTTAACCACCTAGGTCAGTAAATTTCCTCTTCCTCCTTGAATGTTTCTTCTTTTACTTTGTTATTTTCTCCCTCAAACAGGAAATAGAACATCTGGATTCCAGCAGCCTTATTCAACGTTTTACTAACCTATGTTTATGGAGTAAAAGTGGGTTTCCTTGTACTATGCTTTAGTAAGAACCCTTTTAGGTACAACGGGTGGAAAGCCAAGTCAAACAGGTTTTTTTTTTTTTTAGGCAGGGAGTGGTGTGGTGGAAATTAATGTAACTGGGTTGGCTACTACAATGTGGCTACTAGGTTGAACTTCAAAAATAAAGAACTTATTTTCCCTCGCTGTTGGCACCTATAAGGATTTTCTCAGTGAGGATAGCCATCTTGCCTAATGTCATTTAGAGTCACCCCAGCTTCAGCTCTCCTGATAGGTTTGCCAAGGCCTTGTAACTACCTGCTAATTCAACTTCTTCTGCCAACTCTTGTTTCCTTCCTTTCCCCAAGTACTTACTGCGGGGACACTATATAACACAATTCCTGAACACTGTTCTCTAACTCAGTGTTCGTTTCCTGGGAAACTCAATCTGCATGAATGACCGGGTTGCCCAGGAGTCAGGCAGATGACATCTAAGCATTCAAACATTGTCATCACATTTGTCTCTAAATCTCTCCATTTTTCGCCAGCTACTGATCTGGTTTTGTTGTGTTGGCATCATTCTTACACAGTTTCTAAATGCAAGTTGGTAGAGATGGTCTGTGGAGGCAGTAGGCATGCATCATTCACCAAGAAAGAAAAGCTTCACTCACTTTCCTCCAGAGTTCCTGACAACTTCCCCCTCATGTAAAGAACTAACTGATCTTCCTTGGGTCAAGTGACCAGACCACCCATGGGACAATCACTGTGTCCAGGGGAATGAAGTCCTTTCATTTGTCACCTTTAGGCAAGGAATGTGGACCACATAACTGATAGAGGCAATAAGAGTGGGAGCAGATCTGGAAAGAACAGCACAAGCACAACAGAGATAAAGGGAACAGAAATCATCATCTCCAGGAACAAAACTCACTGGAAATCTTGGTGTAATAACATACTTCCCTTTCTTCGACATCTGTACACATCCATAACTGACTATATTAGGAGGCTTTTTAATTTCCTTTTAATATTTTATTTATTTATTTAATTATTTATTTATTTATACAAGCACTGGGTACAGTCAGAAGCGCAGGAGAGTGAGAGAATTCACCAGAGCCAGAGCTGGGAGCAGAATAGGCAGACTGACCAACTCAGTACACCGCTGAGGGGAGCAGCGGGCGCAGCAGGAGAGGTCTGTGCACCATGTGGGACACTCGCCCGGTGGCCTGGGATCGAACTGGCACTTCAGAGGCTGTGGGCAGCTTTGCAGCCCAGCGCTCAATTGATGTGCCACCGGGGAGGCCCAGGACCCTTTTTTTAAATTGGAGATATGAAGAAGGAATCATATTCACAATACAAAGTCAAGGAATTTTCTGGAAACTTGGGTCTGCTTCTCTCTTATTTTCTCAGCCACAGATACATAGAATTCCAATCACAAGCCTGAGGGTGTTGGTTATTATCATCTCCTGGGAGGGGAGAGTGCTTTCTTACATTCACTGCAGTCTAGCTTAACACTAACACCTTAGGAGACAGTGGAATCCAAAGTAGCTGAGAGAAGGAAATATGTTAGCTAATACATAGAGGCTCAGTTTTCTTCATTCTCCATGTCCTGTCAATACCAGTCTAGCAATACCTGTTGTTCCTTTATCAAACTCTCTACCTGTCTTCCCAACAGCAATGCATGTTACAATTTACTTGAGCAATATTCTCAAAAGGGAAGTTACTTTCTGTGAAAGAAAGATTTCACTCTTCACTGCAACTGATCTCTCTTCCTCCAGCTGTGAAACTGATTGAGGTTCTTAAGGCTCTCAGGAAATCTCTACTCACAGCCCTGTGATTACTTTTATAAAGGAGAAAAAAACTATAAGAGGGAATGTTTGATTACCCGCAGGAAATAGTCTTTCTTTTTTGAATTTTCTTCTCAAGTTGTGGAGGGAGAAAAAGGGAGTTAGAAATGTTCAAGAAATAGGTTTACACAAAACAAGGAATGTGATTTCCTCTTGCGTGAATATTCATGGTCACCTTTCCATTGCCTTCCCGGCAGAGCACAGGTATCAGGAGGTAGATGAAAACATGTGGGAGAGAGTTAGATAGGGAAGATGAGTCAGTAGACTGGGAGCAAGGAAAGGGAGTAGAGAGAAGACTGATAATGTCAAACAGCCCAATGGGGCAGGAGTCATCCCTGTGGAGGAGTGTGAGAGTGACTGAGGGAGGAAGGACCTAGTTTTTTGTTTCTTTTTTTATATAAAGATTTATTTATTTATGCATACAAGAACTGGGGTATAGGCCAGAGGTGTGGGGGGTAAGAAGATTCACCAGAGACAGAATGGGGAACAGAGAAGGCAGATTGACTGAAATACATTGCTGAGGGGAGTAGTGGGCCGGGCAGGAGAGGTCTACTGCGCCATGTGGGTTGCTCCCTGGCCAGGGATCGAACTTGTGTTGCAGTGGCTGCAGATAGCTTTATAGGTTGCATCTTAACCCCTTGAGCCACCAGGTTGGCCCAGGACAGAATTTTAAGGTGCTTTCTGCCTTATTAGGCATACATGTCTCACTTTAATTACACGAGGAAATGAGTAGAGGCTTGAATTACTTCTGTATCAGTCAAAGTCCAGTCAGAACAACAGAAGCCACCATGTTTTCAACAGCGGGGTTATTGTATCAGGAATTTGTGACATGGATGATGGGAAAGCAAAGAATATCATCGTGGGTGTAGAAACAACATAAAAAACAACTACAGGAAGTGGTTGGCACCCTCATGGTTGGAGGGAAACTAGCAGGAGGTGGTATAACTCAAGTCCCAAAGCCAGGGCCATCTAGCAGGAGCTAGAACTGTAACAGTGAAGGCCAGCAGGAGCTCATGCCACAGAGGGATGTGCTGACTGTGGGAGCCAGACTCCTAGTGGAAATGCAGCCACTTCAGGGGTGCCTCTGGTTGCAGAAAGCTAAGGGAGGAAGCACTCTTCTCCCTTGCTCCTCATCCTCTAAATTGGCCGAACATAGTGGACAGCAGAGGGCCCAAGAGGCTGGCAAATATAATTCTCTCTGAAACAGAGCAGATCTAGGAAAGGGTGGAGACTAGATCTCAGAGTAAAGAAGCAAATAACTGGCACATATTTTGATTGTCTAACCAGGTTTCTTTGACTCCATCTCTGTGTGGAACGGAACCATGAGGCCACCTGCCCTTTATGTGGGTTACATATGATCTAAGAGCAATGGAGGTCACAGTTGAGTACCTCTTCTGAACTATTAAAAAGTGAAAAATAAAATTACCAATTGTCTTAAGTCTGGAGGACATTTCATAAACAACAACCAAAGGAGTTCGCGACTCTCCTCTTTTTTCTTCTCATTCCCTTTTTGTTTGTTTTATGCTCTTTTTTAAAACCAAATTTTATTGATCAGTCATTCATTTAGAAAGCTATATTCTTTTGGTGGTACAGCTTCAAACCTCCTCTCATTCCCGTTGGGATCACCCCTTTTACCTCTCTATTAACTCTAGCTGTTGTACAACCACTCTCATTCATTAGTCAATTTTCATCTCATGTTGAGGATGGCACCCTACCTTCCTATCTCTCTCATGTCCAGGGCACTGGGTAGCAGTCAGGGAAAATAATGCTAAACCCGGGCTTTGACATCTACAACATCTCACATAGCTTTGTTCTGTTTACATACTTAGCCTAAAGATGTCATGTCTGCTTGGGAATACTAGAGTCATCCAAATGTTTAGTACATTTACTATATTTTAATTTCCTGTAGTTGTGTCTGGCATGATTTTCGATGGCATTGGTACAGTCATGATAACCGGGTGTCATGGTTAAAATTATAGCCAAATCGTTTGGGTTGCAATTCCCAACTCCACTATTTCCTATTTGTGTGACTTTGGCCAAGTAATTTAACTATTCTGGATCTATTATTATTTCTTCCTCTGTAAACGTAGAATTTATTCAATAGAACTTATTTATATACTGAGATTTTATGTGTGTGTCTTTGTGTGTATATACTTATATATGCATATATGTACGTAAGTATCAGCTCATAACTACTCTCATTTATATGCACACGTAAGTGTATGCATATAAAACAAGCTTTTCAGTTAACCAATGATTAGCTAATTTCTGATAATAGAAAAGGAAACAGATTGCACCAAGTCTGCTGTTTTCATTTCCTCATGGGAAGAAGCAGCATAGCAGAGAAGAAAGTCAGACACAAGTCACTGCATCTCTGCCACCATGGGGAACTGGTTTGTGAATGAGGGACTGTCCATCTTTGTCATCGTAAGTAATGATAAGGGATAAATTATCTTACTTGTCTGATTTCTCTTAGGAATTAAATAGAGAAAAGCTATTTTTTGTTTGTTTGTTGGAAAAAATTGTGTTGAAACTGATTCATTGTGTGAATGTAAGTCTATTTATAAGCAGATCAGGTCCATTCTTCCAAAATTATTAATGGAAAGGCTGTATCTAGGGACTTAACTACACCTAGTTTAGATCTTAAATTTTTAGAACTAAATTATCCAGCAGTTCACAGAGGATGTAGAAGGCATTTCATGCTAGTGATCTCTGAGTCTGAATTGTTTAGTAATGTTTGCTCAGGAGCACATTTCTTTTTATGTGTTTAAACCACTTTAAAAATAACCAATTGAAAGTTTATGCCATTTTCCAAATAACAAGTACGAGATTGGCTCATGTATGAGAAACTGGGCTTTATTTCAGTAATCACACCAAAAATAATTGTTGTCACATTTAAAAATTACTTTTATTTCTCTGCTATTAATCTTTAGTTAACTGCAGGGTCTACAAAAATTCAAGGGAGGAAATCAAAATATCTACTCTCATGTCTACAGTGTATAGGATATATATTAAATGTATATAAATCAATAGTCTACCTTGATAAACAATCTTTGTAAGTAAATGTCAAATAAACATGTTAATTTCTCCACTTTTTAGCATAACAAAGACAACTATATTTTTAAGATAGTCTCAGCAAACAATTATGAACAATTGGATAGATAGAAATGTGATTTATAGGGCCTCCCCTGGTGGTACAGCGGTTGAGCACTGGGCTGCGAAGCTGCCCGCAGCCTTGCAGCCTCTGCAGCACCGATTCGATCCCCGGCCACTGGGTTAGGGTCCCACATGGCGCGCAGACCTATCCTGCCACGCCCGCTACTCCCCTCAGCAGTGTATTTCATCAGTCTGCCTGTTCTGTTCCCCGCTCTGGCTCTGCTAAATTCTCTCATCCTCCTGCGCTTCTGACTACAGTGCTTGTATAAATAAATAAATAAATCTAAAAAAAAAAGAAATGTGATTTATAAATAGCCATTCCAAATAGCCAATGAAAGCATAATACATATGTCAAAAAGAACACTTACAAATGGAACCTTTGACAGAAGTTATCATGAAATATTGAGTCTTTGAATTTCAGAGTTAGAAATTAATGACATAAATAAGAACACAAAAGAAAAATACCAGATGGTTTCACTCATAGCAGGAATCTAGAAAACTTAAATAAGGGACCAGGAAAAAGAATAACTATAATAAAGTAAAAATCAAAATCAACAAACAACTATGAACCAGAGACACTCTATGGGGGATGGGGGGCCGGGAGGGGAGGGTTTGGAGTCAAAATAATAGGGTTGCAATTGTAAAAATTCTTAAAAAAATAAAAATAAAAATATATAAATAAGAACAGCAAATATTTTCTTTTAAAAAACATTGGCACCAAAGCAACTTTCTAATGCAATATAGAATTCTTCTGATGACTCAGAGCTGTGAACTTGATTTCTTATTACCATTTTAAGAACAGATTAAGCCTATAGAGGAAAAAATCCAATTTATACATTTAGCTCTTACCACAATTTTCCCCAAGAAAATGGCCTCCTAAATTATATACTTGATATACTTGAATGTGAAATCAGAGCTTGGAAATCAAGAGGAAGAACGAATGAGAAGGTTAGGAAATGGAGAAGTTATTTTGGCAGCTTCTTTCCCAAGTGTCTGTGGAATTTTAAAAACTTCAAACCAGTTTTTAAAAGATCACTATGGAGCTGAAGATAGAGGACTAAGCAGTGTCACCACTTGATGCAGTCAATGCTTGGGATGAAATGAGCAGTCACTGTCTAGAAGGGCCTCTTTTAAAAAAAAATCTGGTGCTCCTCACCCCTTTATTCATGCCTAATAACCCCTCCTTCAAACGTTAAATGAAACTTACTAAATAGAAGTAAAAGCTTGACATTGTAGTTGATGAGACTCTCACTAAGGGAGTTAGGACGCTATGTGGTAGAGGAAGATGATAGGCAGCTGTGAGAACAGAACACAGGTCCACTGGTGTGGGGAATTGTATAGTGACACAATCTTTCTCCTTTTAAGAAGAGTTACCCACTATCACCTAAGGTTAAGAAGAAAAGAAGATGTGCCTCCCCTGGTGGCACAGGCGGTTGAGCGCCGCACTGTGAAGCTGTCCGCAGCCTCTGCAGCGCCGGTTAGATCCTGGCCAGCCAGCGAGAGTCCCACATGGCGTGGCAGACCTCTCCTGTCACGCCCGCTGCTCCCCTCAGCAGTATATTTCGTCAGTCTGCCTGTTCTGTTCCCTGCTCTGTCTCTGGTGAATCCTCTCACTCTCCCACACATCTGGCCTGTACCCGGGCTCTTGTATAAATAAATAAATAAATAAATAAATAAATAAATAAATAAATAAATAAATCTTTTTTTAAAAAAAGAAGAAGAAAAGAAGAGAAAGAAAGGAGGGGAGATAGACTGATAATAACATGGCAGACTGGCAAAGTAGTAAAACAGTCACAAGGAACAACACAGTGTACAAAGGTTAATTACAGAGAAGTGTCATGACCCCATTGTAGGAAAGAGCTGGCCCCAAGTTGGTTACGCCATGTTTGTAACTACCTTGGATCAAGGCTGGAGTTGGGAAATCCTAACCCTGATGTGACTCCAATCTTGTATTAAATGGACCTGTTGAAATGCAAAATATTGATGTGATCCTTTTTCCCTTTGGGCAGCTGCTATGGCTGGGAATTAACGTCTTCCTCTTTGTCTGTTTCTACCAAAAATATGATCGTCCAGACAAGTACTACTACACTCGAAAACTTCTTGGGGTAAGTATGAGTTCCGTCTCATACAATTATCAACTGGCTGACATTTCTTATCTGAGATTCTGATTTGTATTCCTTTTCACATTTTAAATAAATATTCTCATAACCCAAACAACACCCTTATCCTTAACACCCCCCCCCAACTGCAACTCCCTGGACCAAGGGTCTTTAGGCCTTCCAGTGTGGAACAAACTGAAATGTGACAGAGGGTCCCAGCAGCATGCTTCCTGCCCCAGGAACCACAGTGCCATGATTTAGCCTAAAGGAGAACTCAAATACTGTCTCTGGGCCAGAAGGCCAGGATGGAGATCTGAATCCAGGATGACATGGGTGGAACAAGTGGGACTTTCCACATTCTCCAAATCATCTCCTTCCTACCAATTCTGTTCATAGACAGCCCTGCTCCTAGAGACATGTTATGAACTGATCTTCAGAAATGAAGCCTTTCCCTATGTACAAAGCCTTTGAAGAACTTGCCCGAAGGTCACATTGGTTAACTATCCAAACAGAGGGAAAGCCCCTGACTTTGCTTGGGTCCTTTAGCATTCTCTGTTTCCTTGCATTGCCAGATCTCCTCTTTATCACAAATGAAAATAATTGCAATTACAGCTGCCCCCAGAGGATATCATTTGTTATATCATGCTGAAACCGTGAATTTATCGCTTAATAACATTAATTTTAACTATTATAAATATGATTATAAGTAATTATAATATGTAATTATACTACATTATTATAATTACTGTTAATGTCTTCAGGTTGACGCTTAGAAGGATGATTTCCCTGTCTTTCCCCCTCCAAAATATGCAACTTCTTTAGGCATTATAAAGATAATTATAATGCCAAAACATTGCACCACACCAATTTAAGTTGCTGTTGAGGTCAGTCTAAAAAAAAAAAAAAAAAAAAAAAAAACCTCTTTAAAAAGATTCTGTTTCTATACTGAACCCTAGTTAATGATATGCATGCTTACGTATTTAAGGGAAAGTCTGCAACTTACTTCAAAATGCCTCCAAAAATAAAATGAGCTGATGGACAGGGTGGGGGGGGGAGGGCGGGCAGATGGATCAATAGATGGATAGACCTGTGATAAAGCAGGCATGGTAAAATGTGAAAGTATTCATTGTGAAATTCTTTCAAATTCTCTTTATGTTGGAAAATTTTCATAATAAAATATTGGGTTTGAGGGTAAGGTCCAGATTAAATGAAGGGGTCCCAGCAGGTCCTTAAGGTAAACCCTTGGCTCTAAAAAACCTTCCTTTCCAGATGACCACTTGTCTCTGCTGTACAAGTCTCGAGCTGGGGATGTGGGGATGGGGAGCAGTTTCTGTGCCTAGTGGAATCACTCTACTTCTTATCCTGCCTCTCACAGCCAGCGCTGGCATTGGCCAGGGCCCCTGCAGCCTGCCTGAATTTCAATTGCCTGCTGATTCTGATGCCAGTCTGTCGAAATCTGCTCTCCTTCCTCAGGGGTTCCAGTGTGGTAAGAACAAACATTTAGAAAATTTGAGTTCCTCAAAATGTAAAGGTGACCAAGTGAAATGTCTTTCTTAGAAAAAGCAAACCAATGGTTTGTGAGGATTCCAGCCTCTGCAGAACGTCTGTGAGCCAAGTCATGACTGATGCTCTAGTTTAGTTCTGTATTAGTTGTTGATGGCGCTCCCTGGCACAACCATTTAACCTGAAACAGACATTAAAAAGATACCAATCAACCTGTACTGCTAACACTAGCAATAAAGCACATGTGCATGTACACACAGCCAGGCACGCACAACATAATATCCGTGCATCTGTATAAACAGGGCTTTATGAGACCGACATGAATCCTGGGATTCATCTTACAGTGCTGTTTTTTCCCCAAAATTTCAAGTCAGAGAAAATCTCTTTTGCGGCAGACATCCCAGTAGATGGAATCAATGAGTGATGAGTTACCCTGCAATAATGTAACTAATAAGTATTGGCGCCATGGAATTGGGGAGTTCCGAGTTTCTAAATGTCCAGTGCTCCCTCAGCCATGACTTCAACAATTTAGTGAGCCCCTAAATGTAGTATGCTAGAAGCAAAAAAAAAAGAACACTTTGTAGGAAAAACCTTTATAACTCATATAATGGTATATTCATTTTTATTAACATTATTACACCAAAATGAGAAACAAGGAACTTAGAAGCTACACACCCACTCAAGGTCACATTAGTTAACTATCCAAAGCAAAATATCATGAGTCCCATAGAATGTAACAAATAAAGAGCTACAGGGGATCAAAGGAAGCAGAAATTATCTCAGGTGGGGCTGGAGATGAAGAAAGACTAGGGAAGGTGGAATCAGACATGGGCACAGGAGGAAGAGTCTCTAAGGGGTGTATATGAGAGGGAAAAACATTCTACATGGAGAAAATGGCATGAGCAAAAGCTCAGACAATGGTGAGGAAATCATATTTTTCAGAGCCTATTATCAACACGACTTGGAACTTGTTTTTTTTTTTTTTTTTTCCATTCCTGAACACACTGAAGCAGGTAGCAGGGAAAAGTTAAGGGTTGGTGCCCTGGTCAGATCTGTTCCACTGCCTCATGAGTGACTCCGTTTTCTCCTTTTAATAAAATTATGTGTTTCATATTAACTAACTTTTAAATAATCACATATTAAGGAGAGATCATTTATAGAGGAGTGAAGCAAGCAATCTACTGGAGGAGAATGGAGGGATTGTAAAGGACAGGTGTCTGAAGTGAGGCTGGAGAGGGGAGCTGGAACTTTGCTGGTCAAAGAGTTAAATTTATAGCTGAAGAGTTAATAACACTAAATTTGGTGATCAAAGGATATTTGCGGGAAGGAAAGTGATCTAAATTGTCAATAACAAGTAAAACTTGCCTTGAACTCTGTCTCAGTTTTCCTAGTCATATTAATTTCACATTGATACTAAGATTTTTTTCTTTAAGAACACTGATACAACACTCAATTTATTAATCTAAGATTAGGGGGTTATAATACCAATAGACATTGATTACAGGATTTGCAAATAATCGTCTCAACCTAAGACACCACATTTGACTGCAAGTTTGATTGATGAGCTACTTTGATGGATGAAGTACCATGTCTAGTACAGCACCCTCCCGGGTGCTTAATGATATTCACACACTGTAACTGTTTGTGTCTAGGGAGGCACATTCACTTTCATTCTCCTCCTGTACCCTGATACTTTCTATAATAGAGGAAGTAAACCCTGAAAAACAGGCAGTGTTTTCACCAGAAGGGCCCATGAAGAAATCCTCATTGCCCCACATGCTCAAGTTGCACTGCCGTTGAGCTGCCCCTCGAGCAGTGCATGTTGTAATGGCCGCTGTTAGGCTTCCTGTGACCCAGGAGGGACCATCCTCATGAAAGTCTCAAAAATAGGTGTGAAATGAGGCTACTCTTCAAATTACAGGGAAGTTCAGCTCTGTAACCAGAGACCTGTATGTAAAAGAAAATATTTTTAAAATTTGCTCAAGCAACATTCTTGTATAGACATGGCGTGCTCAGGCCTCCTGGCTTCCCAACCTGAAATGTGAACTCTGCAAAGGAACCTTCTTTTTCTATTAAGATTAAAGTGAGTACACTGTGTCTCATGTGGGAAATCATAACAGCTGCCACTTACTGGGTCTTCATATATCTCACTTCATGGAACCTGCAATCAAGACAGTGAGGTGGGATTGAAATTAATGTGGGAGCGTTAGAATTCAAACCCAAATCCATGTGCCCCAGAACTTATTCACTTTACTAAACTCCAAGCTGTCTTGTTTCAATATTAATGGTCTTAGAAAGTCTATGATGTATATGAATGTTTGAGCAACTGAAATTAACCCGCAAGTGGCAAGGATGTTGTACCTTCAAGGATTCATTACCAGGACAGTATGTGATCTCAGTAGTTACAGAACATCCTGTTCAGTTTGTAATGGTCTTAATTATTTAGACTTTGTTTTATAACCCTTCTTATAATCTGGAGAAAGAAAGTCTGAGGTTTGACCCACGCTGGGAAAGATATGGGTAAAGGCTCTTTGTTGAGGGATTTGGAGAAGGAGCTCCGCTTACAGAAGTTCCCAAAGAAATCTTAATAACTCCAGCTTGCCGTGAAGAAATCAAGTTCTAGCTGGGTGGAAGTTCTAGTCTTACGATCAGAAAAAAACAGGAAGGTGAGAGAGTGAGCATTTACGTGTGACTTTACAAAGTCTGAGAGTGAGAAGCCCTTAGCGTGACTCTACTGCTAACCATGTGGTCTAGGGCAAGTCTCTTGAACTTCCTGTCTCATATTCTGTTGTGTGTGTTTTTTTTTTTTTTAGGTGAAGAGCAGGTGAGATAATGCAAATGTACAAATGAATATGATATTTTAAAGGTTTATTAATTGATGAAGCCTGTCAACTAGTGAGTTGTCAGTCAGCAAATATACATTGAGTACCAACTATGTGCTTAGCACTGAGTAAAGTGTAAGACACAGATGGGTCAGGAGCTCAAGGCACATAGAGCTTTATGGAGGAGATAGAGAATAAGCACCTAATTTCAAAATTATAAAGAGTGCCATGCAAGTAAAGTGTGTTCTTCCTGTTTATCACATATTCTACTGGCAACATTACACTAGACATTACTCTCAGCTTCTTTGCATGAGTTTTCTAGATTCGAGTTTGGTTTTTGCAAATCCTCTCAAATTGCATATAAATGTCTCATTCAGATTCAGTGATGGCACATGTGGCGAGGCCAGGTGTATGCAAAATAGAACTTTTAAGTTTCTGTCACAGCCTTGTTATATTGCATTAAATATGTTCTTCTTTTTTGTTCCATTTCTCAATTTTTGAATTTTTTCTTCAATATTTGAATAGCGTGTGGAAACCTGCCAAGATGACTCAATAATCTCCCTCACACTTGAATGATAGTTCATTGAGATTGGGCACGGCTGTAGGTGACAGTAATAGAGAAACTTCCCTTTAGATGTCAATGGAAAAAGCAAAGAGGCAATTCAGGAGGAAGCTATGGGACATGATGGAAGCTTCAATAATTGCTATGTGGCTGCAATAATTCAGAAGTGACACAAAAGCACAAAAATTGTGTCTTTATATTAAAAAAAAGATGTATCTGCTTGGTGGAGAGGAGCAAAAAAGATTCACTGGCAGCGAAGCCCTTCCTTCTCATCCCACCGCCTACCTGTTTTGTCCTCACTTTAGGAAATGGTGAGGAAATTGTACCTTGAAGTCCTATGTAAGTATGACTTCTGACTTCTTTTTAGATTTTTTGCTATTCCTGATCATATCACAGCACATACGAGGGAAAAATGAGGATTTGGGATGTTAATAAAACCCATTCCAGCCTCCCATGAGGGACAAGTACCCTCTGTTTATCCTTTTAATATAATATATGTGTTTCATAACAGGTAGCTTTTTTAAATTGACCTATTAAGATCAAGCAGAGTATTAGTGAATGGGCCTTGTATTTCCCAAGTCGGTATCTCCATTGTTCTGGCATTCAAATAATTTTTCTCTAAAGGTCTGTTGCTAAAGTTGATATGGATCATGGAAACCTGTGTTTCATATTTTTGATGATTCATATTAATGATGATAAGGATAAATGATGGAAACAGTATAAAGACCACAACCCAACTACATTCTTTTTCTTTGGATGCACCGTGCAGGAGCCAGTATATTTCCCCCCCCCCATTTTCAAAATGATTTGCTAGCAAGTAGAAAAGAAAACACTGTGGCAATTGTAGCTATGTGGGTAAATATATTTCTTTGCCTTTTGAATAATCATAGGTTCTATGACAGTGAAATTGTAGCTCTTTTAACCAAATCATATTAAAGGATTTTTAAAAGCACATGACAAATTGCTCTGCCTACAGAAGCTTACCTGCTGGCCAGGGAGTTAAGCCATACTAGATGAAAAGTTAAATTATGATACCAAAAAAATCAATTCTTTATTAGCCACCTTTCAGTGGCTCTCTGAAGTAGGCCTATAAGGGAAAACTGATAAATAGGTGAGGAACCTGAGCATATTGTTTGATGTCACACAGCTAGGCTGGGCTCCAACACAGGCGTGTTATGTGACAGCAAGACTCCAACCACATTCCATCACTCCAATAAAGACTATATTAATTTCCTCTTGCTGTGTAACAAATTTCCACGAATGCAGTGGATTAAAACAACCCCCACGTAGTCGCTCACAATTTTACAGGTCCGAAAGTCCAGCATCCTGTGGATGGAGTCTCTGCTCTGAAGAAAAATCTTCCAAGCTCACTCTTGTCAGCAAAACTCAGTTCCTTGATGTTGCAGGACTGAGGTCCCTTTGTCTTTGCTGATGGTCATCCAGGGGCAACCCTCAAGTCTTGGGTGTTCCTGTATTCTTTGCCAGGTGGCTCCCTCCATCTTCAAGCCAGTGAAAGCACGTCAAATAATTCTTGTGCTTTGCGTCTCTGACTGCCTCCGTCTCTGACTTCTAGACCCAGCTTTAAGGGACACATATGATTGGTTCCACCAGATTGTCTCTCTTTTAAGGTCAACTTGGGGCTTTTATTACCTCCGCAAAGTCTCTTTTGTCATTATGTAGCAAAAATGAAGGCATAGCATCCCATCAGATCACAGTGAGGTCCCACCCACACTCAAGAGGAGGCGATTATATCAGGTCTTGGGGATCATCTTAGAATTCTGCCTACCACAGGAACTCTTTTATTTATTTATTTGTTTGTTTTAATTTATACAAGAGCTGGGGTACAGTCCAGAGTCGCGGGAGGGTAAGAGGATTCACCAGAGACAGAGTGGGGAGCAGAATAGGCAGACCGAAATCACTGCTGAGGGGAGCAGTGGGTGAGACAGAAGAGGTCTGCCTCGCCATGTGGGATTCTCCCTGGCCATCTGGGAATCATACTGGTGCTGCGGGGCTGCGGACAGCTTCACAGCATGTTGCTCAACCTGCTGCGCCACTGAGGAGGCCCCACAGGGACTCTTAAAACTGTGGAGGAATCTAGCAATGGGAAAACAGGAAAAAGATATTTCCTAAAAAACGTATTTAAGAAAGTACTAAAACAATGCATAGCAATGCATAGCAGTTGAAATAAGCACAGAAGACAATGAAGCTATATAACAATACAAGAACAAAAATAATACAAGTCCATTTTTCACCAACAGAAATGTAAAATGCATGATTTCAAACCGAAAACCTGAGTCACCGCTCAGCTCCTCCGGTGGACAATGCTGCTCCCCTATTCTCCGAGCATTCACTGTTCCATTAGATGGGACAGCTGCCTTCTGCAAGTCCCAGTCTGTCTCTATCTGAGGATTTGCTTTCATCCATCCCCTGGGGCCAGTCTGAAATGCCAGGTTGTTGATGTCATAGGAGCAGCCCTCAGCCGATGACAGATGGGAGTTGGTAGAGGAATATCTAAGCTTCCTAACCACTCAGGTTAGGGGTTGAGATTTTATTGGCTGTTCACTCTGCTCTCCTTAAAGTTCTATGAATCTCTGTGTCAGTACGTCTACTCTCAGGAACAAAGCAGACAGACTGACCTTTTAACTAGTTTTCTGGAAGGCAAAGCTCTGATCCAATCACATACTTTTTTTTAGCCCAAAGTCTAGGGCATTGGCCTGAATCCAGATTCAGATTCAAACCCACATTTCTTACCTATGCCAATAGGACAATCATACTAAAGCATTGACCAAAAACTTTTGATGTCAAGGAAATGATGTGATGTGAAATAACAGAATATTGATATCTCTGGTATCAGATAGTGTATATCCCACCCCTGCCACTTATTAGCTCTGTGACCTAAGCTAAGATAATTTCCCTATGCTTTTATTTTCTCATCTGTGATACAGCGATAATAATGGTGCCTCCATGAAAGGAATGATGTAAGAATAAAGTGAGTTAATGCTTGTAAAATACCTAAAGCAGATCCTGGCACAAGTTTTTTGTAAATATTAGCTGTTGTTATATTTGCTATTATTATTTGGTTAGTGATCTCCCTTGTGATGATATCTCTGTTGACATAGGCAGTAGATAGTTTTTTACTCTTCCAATAGTATGTGTGTCTTAGAAGGGTATTGTTCTAAAACTATTCACTTGTTCTAAAACTGTTCGCTTGTCTTTATCCCCATTCAACTCTTAGGCTTTTGAAAGCCAGCCTGCCCTTCATTAGTTTCAACAGCCCATCTTTATTGAATAAATTAATCTGAACTAGAAACAATGTGGTTAGATATACTTTCTGTCTGAATTCATATTTTATGCAATTAAGAAATAGATTCCAGGAGACACTTTAGATCACAAGTATGAGAACACAATATATAATGGTTAAGCCTGCTATGCCATTGACTGTTTGACCTTGGGAAGATGACTGCCAGTATCTGAGCCTCAGTTTTGTCATCTGTTAAATAGGTAGAATGGTACAGTTAAAAAAGTATGGTTGTGAGAATTAAATGAGATGCCATGTATCTAATGTCTGGCACAGGAAAAACCTTTTAATTAGCAATTGGTGTGTCATTCTTTTCCCCTTAATCCAAAGTGCTGTTCAACAAGAATTCGAAGACAACTGGACAGGAACCTCACCTTTCATAAAATGGTGGCATGGATGATTGCACTTCACACTGGTAAGTTTGTTAAGATATTTGCAATCGCAAAGAAAACTTGGGACCAGAGTCCCCGCTTTTCTTAGAGGGTTTTTTGAAAGACATTGACCTTTATAGGTAGAATAGGTAACGATTGGCTATGTTGTATTTTTTTTAATTTTTTAAAAAAGATTTAATTTATTTATGCATTCAAGAGCTAGGGTACAGACCAGAGATGTGGGGGGTGAGAGAACTCACCAGAGACGGAGTGGGGAACAGAACAGGCAGATTGGCTAAAGCACACTGCTGAGGGGAGCAGCGGGCGACGCAGGAGAGGTCTGCTGCGCCATGTGGGTTGCTCCCTGGTCAGCCGGGGATCAAACTCGTGCTGCAGGGGCTGTGGATTGCTTCACAGTGCGGTGCTTAAACCTTTGAGCCACCAGGGAGGCCCTATGTTATATTTTTTTTAATGATTTCTGTTAAAAATAGTTATCACTGTTTCTGCCATCCCCTAATTAAGATTTATTTCTTCAAGTTTTAAAACTTTTTCATCTTGCACACTAAATAAAATCCCAGTGTCTTCATGGTTTTCCCCACTTTTTAATATAAAAAATGTTTGTTAGTCCACATATGAAAGTTTTATTTATTCATTTAAAAAAATACTTGATCAAACATAGATTACTAGATTTCTTACACCTTATCAATGTGGTGCTATTAGCACAAGAAGTGATTTATGCTGACTGCAGAGCTGAGGCTACCAGATGAGAGAGTGGGGAACTGGAGCAAAGGGGAAGGGGGCCTACTTAACTATGGTGGAGGATTGTTGGGGTTTTGGTGGTAGTCGTGGTTGATAACAGCCATTTATAAAGGTGTGAACCTATGCCTCTAAAATATATACAATGTTGTAAATCAACATTACCTCAATAAACATAATTTTTTTGAAAAAAAGATTTATCTATCAAATTGCCACTGATTCACATAATAAAATAATTAACACGCCAGGCAACAAACTAGCACTCATGCGTAGTGATAGACAAAACAGACTTTTATTCTGCCTTTAGGAGTTTGTCCCTAAGCTGAGAAAAATTGGTTTAGTTTGCAAGCATTCAACTGCAAACTAAAATCAGGAAGGCTTTCTGAGCTGTAACAAACAACATGGTTCTAATGAAAATGCATGATAAAATCTTGTTAGAATGCAACATTGTAAAACGGTTAAGAGGACAGGTATGGGGCCTCGTTGGTGGCGCAGGTGTTAAGTCTCAGCGCCATCAAGCTAGCACCAGCCACTGTGGCCTGAGTCGGATCCCCGACCAGGGAGCTACCAACATGGTGAGGCAGACCTCTCCTGTCTCGCCTGCTGCTCCCCTCAGCAGTGTATTTCAGTCAGTCTGCCTGTTCTGCTCCCCACTCTGTCTCTGGTGAATCCTCTCGCACGCCCCCCCCTCCCCGCACCTCTGGCCTACACCCCAGTTCTCGTATGCATAAATAAAAATAAATCTTAAAAAAAGAGGACAGGTATGCCAGAACAGCTTGGATTTGATTCTAACTCTGCTACTTCTTAAGTTGGTGACCTTGGGCAAGGTGTTAAGCAATCTATTCCCCAGTTTCCTCATCTGTAGATGAAATGGTAATAGTCACTACATTTCTGGATCAATAGAAGTATTAAGTAATTATAAAGCAACAATAGTGCTTTTTAATAATGCTTGGCTACTAGCAAGGCCTATGTAAATGCTTGTTAAGTAAAAAAATGCATTTTTAAAAGAGATTCATACTTACAGTCATTGGTCTGTATCAGTTTTCTATCAATTTTCTATAAAATCACTCTCCATGGAGTAATGTCACAATCAGGTAAATGAGCCAGTCAAAGACATACATTATAGGAGAGTCTTCTTGTTTGAGCACAAATATATCAGGGGAAGAGAAACAAACAGAACACATGTAAATATTCTCAGGAATCAAGATTATTTTGTAGAATCTCAAAACTTGGGTTGTTAGTTCAACACCTTCATTTTACAAATGACAGAACAGAGACCAGGGCTTCCCTGGTGGTGCAAGGGATTAAGACACAACCTATGAAGCTTACCACAGCCACTGCAGCACGACTTTGTTCCACAGCCAGGGAGATACCCACATGGTGCAGCAGACCTCTCCTGACTGGCCCACTGCTCCCCTCAGCAGTATATTTCAGTCAGTCTGCCTGTTCTGTTCCCCTCTGTCTCTGGTGAATCCTTTCACTCCTCGCACTTCTGGCCTGTACCCCTGTTCTTGTATGCATACATAAATAAATCTTTTTTTTTTTTTAAATAAGATGCTCTAATTTTTTTTTTAAAGTTTTATTTATTTATTTATTTATACAAGCACTGGGTACAGTCAGAAGCACGGGAGGGTGATTATACAAGCACTGGGTACAGTGAGAAGCGTGGGAGGGTGAGATAATTCACCAGAGCCAGAGGGGAGAGCAGAACAGGCAGATGACGAAATACACTGGTGAGGGGAGCAGTGAGTGGCAGGAGAGGTCTGCGTGCCATGTGGGACCCTTGCCAGCGGCTGGGGATCAAACCGGTGCTGCAGAGGCTGGGGGCAGCTTTGCAACCCAGAGCTCAAACGCTGCACCACCTGTTCTGTTCCCCTCAGTCTCTGGTGAATCCTCTCACTCCTCACACTTCTGGCCTGTACCCCTGTTCTTGTATGCTTAAATAAATAAATCTTAAAAAAAAAAAAAGACCAGAGCCGTTAAGTGACTTGCCCCCATTCACACAACTGAGGCAGCTTAGCAACTTCGAATTGCCTTGCCGCTCTGATGGTGACATGCAGTTCTCATTTATCAGTGTCCTGGGCCATCCCTGTGTCTTTCTGTAACATGTCCTAGTCAGGGGCTATAAGCTGAAACCCATCATACAATAAAATCATGCACACCCTTCACCTTTTTGTTTCTCTTCTCTGTTCTCTTTAGCAATTCACACCATTGCACATCTATTTAATGTGGAATGGTGTGTGGATGCCCGGGTCAACAAATCCGATCCGTTTTTAGTAGCACTCTCTGAGATTGGAGATAAAGAAGGTGAAACTTACCTCAATTTTGCTCGAGACAGAATCAAGGTAAGTCTCTTCATTTCCCAATTCAGATGTCTCCTAGGCCATTAAAACTGAAGACTAAATGTCAGAGCATGAAGAACTCTAATTGACTAGAACAGTAGCAATGGCTACAGTTGATTCATCATCAGACGGACAAGTCTGTTGGTTTTTTAAAATATAGGTACAGAAAAAAAAAAATGTCTCCCACACCCAGATCCACTGTGTGGAGTGTCACTAGATGTTTTCCATTTCCTTGAGCTCACCAATGTGAATTTTGTGTCCTTGGAACCTAGAGCACCCTGGTCTCATCCATAAAAATGCCCGACAGTCAAATCCAGGAATCCATGTCTAGTCAAAAGTGGGTCTATTTCTTCCTGTAGTGAAGGAGACCTTACACCATGAGGACATGTGGGGCATCTCAGGGGGTGCTAATAGAGGCTGATTACAGCACTTGGCCTTGTGTTAGAACACTGTCGGGGGAGGGAGGGATCAGGAAGCGAGGATGTACTCTGGAACAAGTTTGAGTAGGAATTAGGGGTAGTTCTAAAATTAGGGATCTTAGTCATTTTTTCTTAGGAGACCAAATGAATAGAATGAGGCTAAATCTATAAGTAAAGAAGCAGCATTCACTCATGGTTTTGTCTATATCACACATGATTTCACAGTGACTTACTTTGACTCACTCCTTCACCAAAGCAGGGTGAGCTCATCTGAGTTGGAGTTCTATGAAATTGTTTATGTGAAATAGGGAACATTCTGTCCTAGGTACCAGGCCAGCCACCAGCTGACAGTTATCAGCATTGCTTTCCTTTTTTCTTATCTATGCCATCTGAGGGGTGGCCAGTGTCTGCTGTCATTCCTTGAAGCGCAGGCCTCTGGGAGCACCTCAACTGTTCCCCAGGGTCAGCCATTAGTTGAATCCACAGGCAAAGACTTCTTGTGTCCCCAATGTTGTTGAAGTTTTCTACACTCAGGGAGAAATGCTCCAAGTTGTGCTCATGTGCCCATTAGTTTGAGAAGATAGTTAAATCACATTTGCTATACATCAAATTCAAATCTGTTTTCTTTTATTTGGAACAGATTACAAGAAAAAATCCTTCATTTTACAGAAATAACTATACTTAAGCTAACATGAAAAAACTTGCCTGGGCTGCTTAGAGACAGAATTAAACCACATCAAACAAAAAAAAATTTTTTTCTATAGTGTCTTGGATAAATTTTCTGTTACTGCTCAGGGTACAATGAGACATAAGGGTTGGAATGCAAACAGAGTAGGTGACACTGACACTGGCATGCTCAGCCCAGATCTCTTTGGACCACTTTTGCTGTGACCGTGTCCCCAAACATTCTGTGTATGTGTTCACTTTCAATGACCTGCACTGCATCTCTTCCTCAGAGGACCATTCCAGGGCCACTGGGGTTCCTCTGCCCACAAGCTCAGAATCTGGAAATCATCTGATGGCTACCTTTGCCCTTAGCTAACAACTGATGGGTGCAGGTCATGAACACCCAGCTTCCTTGCCTTGAGTCAGGAGAAACTCTGAGGTGTGATTTACTCTCATGGCTCCCCGGTAGCAGGCTACAGATGCCCTCTGGAAGACTTGACCCGAGATCATCCTCTTACTTGATTTGTTCCTTTTCCTGTCCTGTTAACCATTCCCTTACCAGTTTCTTCCAGAGTACATCTTCATCTCAGAGTCAGCTTCCAGGAACACAGGATACATTTGCAAACTAAGCACTGTGACCCTTTCCAAATTGAAGAGGGAAAGGGCTTCAGACACTTTTAGGGTATCTTGTAGTCAACTTATGTCCTTTATTTGATACTCCGTTAGCACTAATTCAGTGTATCAATTCATATTTTCTGACACTCAACCACATAACACATTTTTAAATTGAGAATTATGCATTACAAGTCTATAGAACTCTGAGGGATGGTTAGGATTTGCTAAAGGGAGGGGGGGATGAAAATACTTACTGCCCTTTACACCTGACACTTTATAAATAGGTAGTTCAGCATTTGAGAGCCTCTGAGTAATGTGCATGTGTTTTTATTTTATAGAATCCTGAAGGAGGCCTGTATGTGGCCGTGACCCGGGTAGCAGGCATCACTGGAATTATCATCACACTGTGCCTCATCTTAATTATCACCTCCTCCACCAAAACCATCCGGAGGTCTTACTTTGAAGTGTTTTGGTACACACACCATCTCTTTGTGATCTTTTACATCGGTCTTGTCATCCATGGAATTGAGTGAGTGTTTAAACTCCAAAGTCAATTACTTTATGTCCTTCAGTTTATAGGTGTGATGCTCTGTTAGGGGCACAGTGACCTCCTTGTCTGTGTGGGGTGTATTTCTGCAGAGGGAATATGAGGGGACCACAGGTCAGTTAGTTGGAAACCACTCAGCAGCATTTTAATCTCTAGCTGTCGATTCCTTATTATTCACAGTGCAGTTACTTATAGCAAACTTGGGAAAATACACCAAAGTTGGAGTATCTTTGCAAGCGTATAAAGTGTAGTGAGAGTGCTGGCAGGGTCTTGGCTAGCTGTGTTGCTGTTTCCTGTGACTTAATCACTAGTAAATGAGACAAAACCCAAACTAGAGGAGTTAATGATTAGTCAGAAGGGTTTGAAAGTGGTCCAATGAATTTTGATTCAAGCCAACCATTTATTGATTGCCTACTCTATGAGAATTGGTCTAAGGCACTGTGGGGAAGATTAGAAGGAAAAATACATGGGTATTGCCTTCAAGACTTCCCGTATAATACAGATAAGAGGTAACTTACACTGAGCACTTATTATAGATGTAAAATGTTTCTTTTCACTCCAAAGGGAAAAGCTGCTCTTTCTATATCCATTGTAGACAGGGAAACAGGCTAAGGCAGGTTAAATACATAGTCCCAGCCTCCCAGTTGGTAAGTGGCTTGACTGGGATTGGAGCTCGGCAATCTAAAGATGGCCACGACAAAGATGGCCATGCTCTCACAGACACACAGTGCTGGGTTGTGTGATTAGGTGAGGTTTTTTTTAAAAAAAAAAAGATTTATTAATTTATACATACAAGAACTGGGGTACAGGCCAGAGGGCTGGAGGTTGAGAGGATTCACCAGAGACAGAGTAGGGAACAGAACAGGCAGATTGACTGAAATACACTGCATGAGGGGAGCAGGAGGCGAGTCAGGAGAGGTCTGCTGCACCATATGTGTCATCTCCCTGGCCAAGTATCGAACTCGTGCTGCAGTGCCTGCAGATAGCTTCGTGGGTTGTGTCTTAACCCCTTGTGCCACCAGGGAGGCCACTAGGTGGGTTTTTTTGTGTGTGTTTGTTTCATATTAGTTGATTCTCCCCCCTGCACACAAAAGCAGGCCTGGGGAAATTCCCTGGTGGGTACAGGGCTCCAGATAACTAGGGGCAGAGGAAGTAGGTACTCAAGGCTCAGTGAGCCTGAGAGCAGAGCCTCCCCGAAGGCCATCTGAGTATCTGAGTGTGAAAGGACAAAAGTGAAGAGAAGTAGCTTTGTACAGCCACGTGTATGCACTCTTGATCAACCTGCTGACCCTGACCCCTGATAAACTCTTCTAAGCACTGAAAACCCACGGAAACAGAATCTCTTGATGCTCCTAAAGCAATTGCTTGTCTTTAAATGGGCATTGGTCATAATCCAGCTATTTCAGAAAATCCAGAAGAAAATATGTATCTCTTTCCCTCTCTAGCTTAGTAATTCTGCCCCTTTACATCTGCATAGTTGTATAAATATGCATTTCCCTTTAGAGCAGGCAGAGGGAATCCATTTAACCCTTCATCTGAGGAGAACGCTACTCACACTGGTGAGCTGATCGCTTACAGTCTAACACCAGGATCGCAGCTGAATTGGGAATAAAACCAATAAAACCATGTTTTCTGACTTTGAGCCCATCATTAAGAAGAAAAGGAGAAAGTCAGATTTTTCCCCTATTACTTGCTATATGAATTTGAGCATTTAGAACTTTAGTATTTCTTGGACCCTTATTTTGTGTCTGGTATTTTAAAATGTGTCATGTCAATTGATTATGAAAAGAAACTTTTAATGAGATACTATTGTACCTTTTTTACAGCTGAAGTAAATGAGGCCCCAAAGAAATTGAATATCTTGCCCAAGGCCACCAAAATTGCAAGGAGTGGGCCTGGAATTTGACACCAAAGGTGCCTGACTCAGGTCCCAAATTGTTTTCGCAAAATCACTCTGAATCTAGTTACCTCACCTCTCTAAGTCTTGGTTTTCTCATATGTAAAATGAAACTACCTATATACTTAGCTTTCAGGCTTATCATGGGGATTCATTGACTGAAACAATTTGGATACAGCGTAGGCCTGACACATAACAGATGCTCAATACGTGCTAATTCTCTTCCCCAAGACTAGGCATTGAAAGGGATGGCCAATGATTTTGAATTGAGACTTTCCAGAATTTATCAAATGGCACAATCAATTTATATTTCCCAAACAAACTTTACAAAGAGTCTTCTGTGTCTCTTTTATTTTCTGAAGCCCCTGCCATTCTTGTTCCTGGAAGTCAAGGACTTGACTTAACTTTGTGCCTTCCCCTCTCCATCCCCCCAAACCTGCATTGTCTTATGTGTTAGCAGTTGCTTAATTTATATGCATTGAATTGAAGTGAAATGGCTCTGAGCCATTGAATTGAAGTGAAATGGCTCTGAGCTGATGTCCGTGAGTGTCATAATCTTCACAAACTTAAGTCTTCTTAAGTTGATGTTAACCTTTTGGTTTGATTTAGACAATTTTGACACAACCAGTGAACCACTCATACTCAGCAACGGCTGCCATGTGTGATTGTATGGGTTCTCAACTTCAATGTAGTGCCTGGCCAAGAGGAGTAAAATTAGCCCATGCTCTGCTGCCCACGCCCTTTGCCTGTGGGCTGGTCTTCGCAGTGGGGGATCTTGTTCTGATGTACACAAAGGTCCGGTGTGGGCTAGTAGTCACTATGTTAGGTTGGAAGTTTTTCTGGTTTTGTTTGTTTATAAATGAAAATAATACTTAAAACAGAAGCACAAATGCTCCCTTTAAGAAAACATGTATTGATGATCCCAAACTCACCCTCTATAAGGTCACATGTTTCTTGGTGCCACTGTCCATAGCTTTTCTATTCCCGAGGGAGACATATTTTCTTTCTCTTCCTCTACTCTGTTTGGTGGGGAGGGGGGGTGGTGTTAGTAAAATATCACTTTTAAGTGCAAAGCACAAGACCCATATTCAGATATCCCCAGAATCTCAAAAAAATTAAGAACTTAATTTTTTTGGTAATAAATGGTCTGGACTTACATTTACTCCCCAGGCGAATTGTCCGTGGACAGACCGATGACAGTTTGAAACATCATAATCCAAAAAACTGTGAAAGTAGTATCTCAACATGGGGAGAAGCCGGTAAATGCCCAGTGCCAAAGTTTGAAGGGAACCCTCCTGGGGTACGTATAATTCCATGTTGCTAATACAGTTTCATTACCAACAGTCTTCAATCCGTGTCTACTAAGTACGTGCAAATATCGTAGAGTTGTCCATTATGAATGCCATGGACGGTTAGAATGTTATAACTATCTACTTTTCTCTGCTGTAATTGTTGTCTACAATTATTTCCTGGAAAAAAGCTTTGCATTAGTCTATTATGAATGCCTGATAGAAAACTTGGAGAAGCATGGTTTTTGAAAATGTGGAGAAGCTGCTTGTGTTCAAGACATTCACCTTTCCTCTTCTGTCTGTGAAGACCACAATAATGCCTGTTACTGATTTTTATTTATTTTTAAGTGTTATTTATTTATGCATACAAGAGCTGGGGTACAGGCCAGAGATGTGGGGGTGAGAGGACTCACTAGAGACAGAACGGGGAACAGAACAGGCAGATTGACTGAAATACATTGCTGAGGGGAACAGCGGGTGAGACAGGAGAGGTCTGCTGCGCCATGTGGGTAGCTTCCTGGCCGGGGATCGAACTCATGCTGCAGTGGCTGCGGATAACTTCATAGGTTGCATCTTAACCCTTGCACCACCAGGGAGGCCCCACCTGTTACTGATTTTTAGAGGCATTCCCTCCTGAGCTCACTTGGATAGCTCAGATAATTACTTGAGAGGAGCCAAGAGCCTCTTCAGATCCCAAGAAATAAGACTTTCTTTTTGTTTGTTTGTTTATTTATTTATTTATTGATTGATTGATAGAGGCATGTTTTATTTATTTATTTTATTTGTTTGTTTGTTTTTGTTTATACATGCACTGGGTACAGTCAGAAGCGCGGGAGGGTGAGAGAATTCACCAGAGCCAGAGCGGGGAGCAGAGCAGGCAGAAGGACCGAAGTACACTGCTGAGGGGAGCAGCGGGCGGCAGGAGAGGTCTGTGCGCCATGCGGGACCCTCCTCCGGTGGCCGGGGAGCAGCCGGGGATCGAACCGGCGCCGCAGAGGCCGCGGGCAGCTTCGCAACCCAGCGCTCAACCGTTGCGCCGCCAGGGAGGCCCTCTTTTTTTTTTTTTTTTGAAGATTTATTTTATTTATGTATGAATACTAGAACAGGGGTGCAGGCCAGAGGTATGGGGGAGTGACAGAGTGGGGAGCAGAACAGGCAGACTGACTGAAACACACTGCTGAGGGGAGCAGTGGGCAACACAGAAGAAGCCTGCTGCACCGTGTGGGTTAGCTCCCTGGCCGGCCAGGGATCGAACTTGTGCTGCATGGCTGGCTTGATAGCGCTGAGACTTTAACCCCTGCGCCATCAGAGAGGCCCCAGGAAATAAGACTTTCTATAAAGTATTCTGAATTGGGAAGGAAGTTGATAAGGTGACACAAGGGGTTGCCTTTAGGCATTAGGGGGATCTGTCTTTGAGGTATAAAAAAGGCTGGTCAGCCAGGTTCATAACAATACCCAACGTCATTGCATGGTAGGCTGGGAGTGTGGCAAGAATGATCAAAGTAAAACGTGCTGAAAGATTTACCTTCCTTGTTGGAAGCTCCAAAGAGTTCCATTTCATGTTTTCAATATTTCTGCTCCATAGAATGAGAAGTGGGCCATATGATTCCATATCTTTTCCCCATTGCAAACAGTATACCTTATTTGTTATACTAGCCATCAATATAAAAAGAGGCAACAACAAATATTTGTATAGGGTTACTGAACAGGAATATTATTTTTTTTCTTTAAGCACAGCATAATATAAAGGGAAATTTCCCCTCCCATTTTCTTCTTTATTTTTTCCTACTCTCCTAATAGAGGAGTACTCTTCTTCTAGACACAGATGTTGTCAGAGACTTAACATCTGTAAGCATCTTTGCTCATTAGCTAGGGCAGCCAGCTACATGAGTGATATGAGCCAGCTACATCCATTGCATGAAAACATCAATAGGAAGAATTAAAAAGGGAACTGTTATTTAGCCAATAGTGATACTGGGTAATTCCCATGTTCTGAAACATCACAGATTCCACAGGTGAATCTAGAGAACTATTTTGTGTCTGTCTGTATTCAGCAAGTGCATTGCATAGCTCCTAAAGCTTAGCAGGATATTGGAGAAACAGTGAAATTCTTGCATGAAATTTCTCATCTTGCAAAAGATGAAGCTTTCCCTACACAGCCAGAGAAAGCAATCACAATGTTGCATTAAAAATATAGGGTTGCTGAAATCAACACCCTTTAGAGAAATGTTAATTCTGAAACTAAAACCTTGCCTGGCTGTAGTGTTATTGCAACTGCTGTTGCGACAGTAGGAGGAAATTCCATTCTTGTCGGTAGTTCCTCTTGGGAAAGTTTCATACTGTAGTTATAGTTCCCCAATATGGCAAGGAGAAAGTTTATTTGCAGTGGCTCAAAATTTATTTTAATTGTATATAATTCATGCGTGCTGTTGTAGAAGAAATTTAGAAATCTATAATAATGTAAAATATTTAAACAAACCTACAAAGTTTAACTTGACTTCTGGTTCAACCCTATGAATGTTTTATTAGCTATCACCCTTTAACAAATTCTTTATTCAATTTTACTCTAATTACAGACTTGGAAATGGGTAGTGGCTCCCATGGCCCTGTATGTGTGTGAGAGGCTGGTCCGGTTTTGG